GAACCATCCCCTCATTCCTGGAATGAATCCCACTTGGTCGTGATATGTAATCTCCTTGATGATTTGTTGCATTCTGTTTGCCAGTATCTTATTGAGAATCTTTGCATCAATGTTCATTAGTGACATTAGCCTATAGTTTTCCTTTTTGGTTGAGTCTTTCTCTGGTTTTGCTATCAGAGTAATACTTGCCTCCAGGAATGATTTAGTGATTTACTTCCTTTTCAATTTCACTGAAGTGTTTAAGGAGTATTGGCATCAAATCTTCTCTAAATTTCTTGTAGAATTCAGCCATGAATCCATCAGAACCTGGGATTTTCTTTGTTGGTAACTTTTTAATTATGTTTTCAATTTCAATAGCTGATATTGGGTTATTCAAAATATGTTTCTAGAAATCTGTTCATTTCCTCTGTGTTTTCCACTCTATGTGAGTAGAGATTTTCAAAGTAGGTATTCATAATCATTTGAATTTCCATGGAATCTGTACTAATTTCCCCCTTTTCAGTCCTTATTGCATGAATTTGTTTTTTTTTCTTTCTTTTTATTGATAAGGTTAGCTAGAGGTTTGCCAGTTCTTTGTATTGTTTTTTTAAGTTTCAATTGCATTCATTTCTGCTCTAATCTTTACACTTTCCTCTCTTCTATGAGCTTTGGATTTAACTTGCTATTAGAGGTATTTTTGACTATTTGGATGACCTAAGAGAAGGGAAATTTTTTTAAGTACTTATTTTATTGAGTTTAGGTGTGGGAATTTGATGAATCTCTGCTGTACTATAATTGCACTATTGTAATACAGTTTCACCAACCTTAACTGGTTTGTTTTCATGATGCTGCCAATTAATCAGCTCTTTCTGCAAAGGTTCAGGAATAAGCCTTTTTGAGGGCCAAGCCTATAGCTCACTGGCATAAGCACCTGCTTGGCAAATGCAAGGTCCTGAGTTCAATTCCCAGTACCAAAAACAAAAGTATGCCTTTTTGAGAATGGGCTAGTCCATTCTGAATTTTATGAAAACATTATTCATTCTTTGAATTTTTTATCATCCACAATGCTTATCTTCTTAAAATTATTGCTAACTGGCTTGGCTTTGTTTTTGGACTTAAAGTTTTTTAACTGACTATGTGAAATACATTTCTGGAATTTTTTATCTTTTTTGTTTCTTAAGACAGGGTCTTGCTTCATATATGTAGTCCAGGCTAGTCTTGAACTCATTATGTAGCTGAGGCTGGCCTTGAACTTGTAGTGATCCTCCAGCCTCAGTCTCCCTAGTGCTGGAATTACAGACATGTGCCACCATACCTAGCATTATTCCTGAACTTCTCCTCTCTTAATTTGTTCTTAGCCATTCTCTTTGATATTTGCTTGCAGCTGCTTAAGCTCCAGGTGAAACCATCTACATACCAGGGAAAGGGAATTTTAGCAGAGCCAATGTAACCCGAAACAAAAGTGAGTCTAGAGCCTGCTTATTCAAGGTGATTTAGTCAAGAACAGGTACTCCTTGTGTCAGAGACTGCCTGATGGAGCTTAATAGAAAAACAGGTTTTGTAGGCACCAAAAATTGTTTCTCCCTTGAAAAAACCAGCCCTCACTTCTTCCGCAGTAATAATCTCCAACCTTTGTGATGAACTAAGAAACTAAATAAATACACAGGAAAGGTACAAAAATAATAATACCATATATTTACTTGGAAGTTTTTCTAATAAAATCCTTAGAAAGCATAAAGAAAATTTCCCAATCATGTTATAAGAGAATATTATTAGAAAAATGAGTAAACTAAACAAAAAGAAATCTTGGATATTAAAAATAAAGTCTAGAGCCTGGTATATTGTTCAGTAGCACAACACCTGCCTGGCAAGCATGAGGTCCTGAGTTTGATTCCTGGTACCAAAACAAAAATGAAGTCTGAAAATTTTAAAATACAATGTATAATTTCACAGCTTAAATGTGACAGAGACCAAACTGTTGATTTGGAAGATAAGATTGAGGAAAAATCTTCAAGAATTAGACCAAAAGTCACATCAAGTCAGGTATGGTGGTGCACACTTAATTCCAGCATTCTGGGAAGCTGAGACAGGAGGACTGCAGGTTTTAGAACAGCTTGGGAAATTTAGCAAGTTCCTGTCTTAAAGAAATAAAGTTCTAGGGGTATAGTGCATTTGAAAGGAAAAGATGAAGACCATGGAGGAAAAGAAATACCAAAGAAATAATAGAAGAAAAGTTCCCTTAGCTAAGAAAGATACTCATTTTCAGAGGATAAGAATTCATCAAATGTGAGAGCAAGATAGATACATCCTGGGGCATTCCATAACTACAGGAGAAGAAGAGGGAACTTTTAATGCTCCTGAAGTAAAAACAGGCAAATTAAAAAGGGCAGGAGTCAAATTTCTCATCAACAAAATTAAATATTAGAGTACAATTGAAGTTCTAAAATTAAAGTTTTCTTTAAAGTTCTAAGATAAAAAAGCCTGAACATATAATTCTATACCTAAACTACCAATCAAAACTAGGAGAATAAACAAGTAATTGATTCTAGAGTGACTAGTAGCAATACAGACATTATTAGTTGTTTTCTATGCTAGGTATGGGACTCAGGGCCTCATTCATGTTAGGTAAAGTACTTTTACCACTGAGCTACATCTTCAGCCCAATGACATTACAAATACTGCTTTTCTGGTTTTAAACACTTAGATTTAATCTGTAGACAAAGCATAGAAAATTTTCTTATGAACTAGCAAATGTATTTGTAGTATATAACTAATTATAATAAAATCTGAAGATACAGGGATGTAAATGAATTACATTTATTCATAAGAGGGAATTAACAGTCTCTGACTATAGCTTATAAATAAAGAACTAGAAAAAATGTATGGCGTTTAATGTCAGTTACCAGACCAGTAAGAATGGGAAAGAGACTTACAGTTTCAGTTTGTGTATTTCCATTCAACAATTTGAATATTTAAAAGTTTGGATGTGTGTTTGTATGTGTCCACCAAAAAATGTATACACCTAAGGAAAAGAAAAACTTGTATACATATTTTAATACTAAATTTATTGAAAAATCATGCAATAAATACAAGTTACCTTTGACCTTTGTAATTACCAGAGGTGCTCAAAGTGGTGACCATTAGCTCCCAGACATTTATCAGTTTGGTGAACTGCTTCTTGGGTCACCTTGGTCCATTGAAATTGCTGCACATGCATTTTCAATTTTTTCTTTAAGGGCCAGAAGTGTAGTGGGTTTTCTGTGATATGTGGCATCCTCTAGGGTCTTCCATACTAGGGTAACATCACCTGTTGAAAAAAAATTATACTGTGTCCTGGAATATGTATACAGTTTTTGTCAGACTCTCTATAGGTTTCTTTTCAAGGAGGTTGTCCTAGGCCTTCTGGATTTGGGGAAATGGGTCTTGTCTTTGAAGTACCTGAAGCAGGAAACTAAAAGGAAACTTCTGACTGCTGGCTTTTCATCATTGAACAGATGGAGTCTTTGGTTATCTTCCCAGAAAAATAGGAAAAAACTTATGGCCCTGTAAAGACTGTACCTAGACTAAATGAGTGCCTGGCCTTTTCCTGTGCCAGGTCTTTGGTTAAAGGGTAGCACTCAGCCAGAATCTCATTCTGCCTGCAAATATCTTCAATAAAGTCCTCATGTCTGCCTTCCTCGTTGATTAGTTCCCAGCAGGAAGCATACCTCCTCCTTCTTGCTCCTCCTCAGAGAAAGCTGTTTCTCTCAGGTGTTGTTCTAAACGAAGACAGGAAGTGATGGTGTACCAAACAGTCCAGTCTTTTAGGCACAGATCACTGTGACATCATGTCTTCCTTTAACATCTCTTGGCCATCCCTGAAGTCAAAGTGACTGCCTGAGACTCCACCTTTTCCACATGGCTTAAACTGTGGGTCTCAGCAATGGCCCAACTCTCTCCTAATGAGGCAGGTGCTCATTGGTGTTTCCAGTACAGGGTTAAAAAACTTCGGGATCTCTGCATATTGGAGCAGTAGTCTTGACCAAGGGTGAATTTGATTCATGGGGGACATTTGGCAGCTTTTTGGAGATGTTTTTGTCACAACTTGATCAGTAGGGAAGGGTGCTACTGATATCTAATGATGGGAGACCAGGGATGCCTCTTAACATATTACTCTGCCTGCTGCTGTCCCCCACAACAAAGAATAATCTGGTCCCAAATGTCAGTAGTGTCAAAGTAGAGAAGCTATATGTCAGAGAGTCTGGGAGAGAAATAACAGGTAGGATGAAGAATAGTCCTGTAAATCATCTTGTCAAGTCTCAGTTTCCTTCTTTGTAGTAGCCCCAGGATACCTCTAAGATTCTTTGGAACCCCAACATGTCCACCGTGTACCTCTAGGTCATTGGTGGCAAACCTATGGCATATGTATTACCCTGGGCTGTTTGTAGCAATGAAAGCTCTAAAAGGTTTGTCATCACTTCAGTGGTTTAAAAAGGATACCTGCAGAGAACAAGAACAGAGGGAACCCCAGGGATATAACTCTCATTCCATTCTCTCCTCTTTGCAAGATTTGAGCTGGTTGCGGGTCAGAAGCTGAAATACTGCCAGTCATGGTGGCACATGTCTATAATCCCAGCACTTGGAAGGCTGTGGCAGGAGGATTGCTGTGAGTTCAAGGTCAGCCTGGGCTACATAGTGAGTTCAAGGACACTCTGAACTATGTAGTGAGACCTTGTCTCAAAAGAAAAAGAAAAAGATTGAAATGCTGATTGGAACCAAAACAGAGAACTCAAGTATGTTCTAATGAATCCAATCTTCTTTTTATCTTGCAATTGAGAATCACCATTTAAGACTGATGGAGTATATTTTAATCTTTCATTTCTATTCCTGCAGTTTGCAAGTATTTCATGTTCTATTGTGGTAAAATGGTGGGGAGTGGGCTTTGTGGGTAGAATGTTGGATGACTTACTGGGATTTTAAAACATATTTTGTTGTGTGTAAGTTTTTTTTGCAGCTATTTTTCCTTAATTCTCTTATTAAAGTTACTTGAAACCTATCCTCACACACAGTGGTCCCCCACTAACCACCACTCTCCCTGCCTGGTGTGGCTTGCTAGCTCGATGTCTGACCAGTCCCCAAGTGTATGATGTAAGTACAATGTATTAGCAACTTTTCTGTCACTAGGATAAAATACCTGACACTCAAAACTTGAAGGAGAGGTTTATTGTGTCTCATAGGTTTTTTAAAAAAGATTTAGTCCTTAGTTGGCCGGCTCCAATGTAAAAAGGGCATGCTGGGAGGGTTTGGGGTACCAAAGCTGCTCACATCATGATAGTCAGGCTGTAGAGAGTGAAAGAAGGAGCCAGGAATAAAAATACATGTTTCCAGGTCACATCCCCAGTGACCCATTACTAACCGGGCCCTACCTGCTGACAGCACATTCAGCTATGAATACATCATTAGATGAATCTACTTATGAGTATACCACTCCCATAATCTAATCCCCTTCTAAATACATGAGACTTTTGGGGGACATTTTAGACTTAAACTATAACATGAAGCCTTCGGCACTGTTTTCTGCTCACCATGGCAGGGTGGTCTCTTACCTAGGAAGAAAGCTATCACATTTGAACCTCAAAACCCACAGATTTTGCTCATCTAATAATGCAATTAGAAATAGCCAATTCACATATGTTTATATATTTTTCACAGTACCAGAAATCTTATACCACGGGTTATGAAGGTTTCCCAGCATAGGCAGCCATGGCATAATAGGATACTGGATTGGGAATTAGAAAAACTAGATTGGAATCTAAACCCTGACAGGCTTCGGTTTTTCTGTCTCTGAAATGGGCTTAGTAGTTCAGCCTGGCTATGAGCATTAAGGTAAGTACAACAAGATACACCATGAACTATAAAGCATTTCACAGATGTAAGATTTATTGTAAGAATTAGTTTATTTATATTGATGTAGGTTGTTAGGTTTTTTCTTCCCATTTGCCAGTCTAGAAATTGAGTTGGTACAATAGGAAAAGAATACGGTGCTGTGGCGACCTTAGCCTTTGAGCTACTTGAGCTCCTGATGTGAGTTTCAGGACAGAGAGGTAGAGAGAACAAGCAGATACCACACAGGAGTACAGGGGAGGGCAAAGGCTTCTTCCTTTCCCATTTCTTCTCCACTATTGTAATCATCTTGTCATCAACACAATTATTATCCCCTAAGAGAAAGGAACTTCTTAAATGTGTATACAGCTTTACAGCTCCCAAAGGGTATTATTTTTCTCTTAACCATACCTTATCAGAAACAGATACTGTAGTGTTACAGTTGAGAAGGGTATGTTTCAGGGATTGTATGAGTTACCTATAGTCCCACAGTTACTAATTGGCAGAGCTGAGGCCTTAATATAGGTCTTCAAATAATTAGCAGATAATATGTGTTTCCCTGATCAGTGATGAGAAAACAGAACACAAAGCCCAGTTTTCAGGGAAAAGGGCCCTAAACAAGGAAGTTTTATGGGGTAGGGAGTGGGAGTGATGGTGCTGGCATTCAGGCTGAACAAAGGGGAAAGGGATGTGGACACCATAGCAGCCAAGAAACACTGAGGTAAAGGGGAGCCACGTTAGAGTACTCATACAGCTCCTTAGATGGGATGCTACCCCAATAGGTTTCCCTAATAAAGCTCCAACTGGTTATACTTTTAAAATCTCTAATCTGAAAAGTAGTGGGTTGTAGTAATCATGCTTATAGATTCGAGCTATCCTGGCCAGTTTGAACTGGCATAGAATCAGTAAACTTACAGTCATATGAATTTAAAGTACTTCACTCACTAACTCAGGAAACTGTAGAAGATTTGCTTCCTGAGCTAATGTTTGGACTCTGGACTCCATGGCCAAGCTAAGATGGAGAAACTTGGGCTGCCAGCAAGAACCACCACCAGTGCTATTGCTGCCCCTTTCCAGCTGGTGTCTCACCCAGGTTCTCAGCCAGCTCCACACACAGTGACACTTGATAGTAAGAGGGAGCAAAGCATCCTTTCAGAATTATATCATTTGAGGAGCCCAAAGTTGAGAGAGGTAGAGAGACTTTCTATGGGACACGATGCCTGATGAGGGTCTCAGGATGGGCAGTTCTTGGTCATTTGGCAGCTGTTGTATGTATGGTTCTTGCCTGTCACCTATAGGACATTTCATACTTTACCAAGTTTATTTGGAGGTACCTAGGATATTCATCATTCATTATTTACATTAATTAACTCTAAGCCAGTAATGTTAGTATCCACCAAGAAAACAGTATTCTGTCATTTATAAAAATGCCCTCTGGTTATGGACCATCTACACATTTTTACAATGCTCTTATTTTCAGGATTATTTCACTGCATTTCCATGGCAATCTTACTGAACAGCTACTTACATAACTGTATAGACCTTTGGCTTAACCAAGTTTATCATCTAGAATTTGAGAAGTAGGTTGGTTTCATCATCTACATGTAACACTGATTAAACTTTGATTTAGGAGTCTCTCTCCACCAGGTTTTACCTTGCCCTTGTTTCCTTTTTGTGTGTGTGTGCCAGGAATTGAACTCATGACCTCCTGCTTGTCAGGCAAGCACTGGGCTGCTGAGCTATATCCCTAGCCCCTTGTCTTTGTTTGTGAACAATCTGTCCTTGGGTACTGTCTGAGCTTGTGACAACATCCTGTCTTAATTTCTTCTACTAGTGAGGCCCTCTGTAGAGTCAAAGCAGGCCATGCTGAACTTGAGGTTCTCAGTGCTATGCTGGGCTTTTCTCTATTTAGAGAATTACCTTCACATACTATGACCTGTGTTTTTCTTTCTTTGTGTGGCCCTAAATCTTGAAATAGTAAAATGTGTACCAGGATCATCTCCGTGAAAATTGGGAGCTAAGATCCTGGCAGAGATATTTTGACAGAGATGAACAAAAACATTACTTAGCACGTGTCTGAACGGGGGATTTAAACATGCTAAGACAGGAGAACTTGCTGGGAGCTGGAAGCTTGAATAGGACACATGATGTTATTTGTTGTTCAGAAAATTCTCATAGAACAGATTGAGTTTCAGGACCTTGTAAACACTGTGGGAGAGGAGGAAATTTGGGTGTTTGGAATAAATTCTCCTCTACACATCTGCCTGAGTGCAGGATTTGTATGTCATCCACATCTCCACCCTGCCGCATTCCATATTCCATGGGGACCTGAGGCAGTGAGCGAACTTGCCTGCCAAAAATGCTGGCATGTTGATTGAGTGAAGTAACACTATGGGCTGTGAAGAAGTCTACATCTCTGACATGATGTGGAAAGCAAGCAAGCATGTGCTTGTCACCAGTAAGTGTACAGAGATGGATGGGGGAGAAGGGAAGGAGACTTGACCTAGGAATTCCCTTGGTTTGGTGCATTTAAAAGGCATTCACATAGCACCTATGACAGGTTGAGTGTCCCTTACTAAAAGTGCTTGGGGTTAAGTGATTCAGATTCTTTTTCACACTGGCACATAATGAGATATCTTGTGAATGAGACTGAAGTCTAAGCACAGAATGTTTCATATACTCTTGTACCCAATGCCTAGAGGTTATTTTATTTATAATAGTTTTGTGCATGAAACAAAGTTTGTATACATGAAACCATCTGATGTGCAGAACATTACAGAGTTTGGATTTTTGGGTTAGGGCTGTTCAGCCTGTATAAGGTGAACACACCGTTGAGGAAGGATGCCAAGAACAGAAGCTCACTCCCTTTAGTGATTATCTCTTAGATGTGGAGTCCAGGTGCTTACCTAAGGGAATATGCCCTTTGCCTTGGGCAGTATGACTGAGCAGGGTGAGGAGGCCTTGGTGTGTAGAGAACATAGGACTTCAGATAAGCTTTGAAAGGCTGATAAGAAACAGAAAAGAATATCAGTTTATGTGGGACATTTTGACACTGTTTGCCATTTGAAAAACACCTTCTTAGTGTTTGACAGGACTCAATACAGCAGGGGAGGAGGGCTGTGCTCCTCCTGTTTTGCTTACACAAACCATAGATGAAAGGTGCTGACTTCTTGCTCTCTCTTGACATCCCACCCTAGCTTCAAGTGGCCCTGATTCTGTTAACCCCTTCCTTGTTTAGACATGTCTGTTTTGCTAGAGCGACTGCATAGGATGAGGCACCATTCCAATTCTTTTCCTGATGGGAGAGGGTTCACATCCTTCATGTAGATAAAACCAATCTAGAGGCAGCAGCAGTTTTAGCTGTACTTTCTGTCAGCTGAACAACCTGAGACACTTCATGGATTCTCTCAGCCCAGGTTTCTAGTCTGTGGTCATCGCAGGGTAAAGGTCAGGATCAAAGGAGCTTCTGTGTGTCTTCTGTGTGTCTTACCTGGCATATAATAGATATTCAATAATTCTCGCCCTCTCTACTACCACTGCATCTTGCCATCAGGGATTTTGTATGATGTCAGCAGAGGCAAAACAGGGAGGAAGTCCTAATCCTGGTTTCTCTTCTGCCCGAGCTGCTGACTAGGACAAAGGTTAGGATGGTTTGAGTCAAGCAGCAGGCCCATGCACAAGACATGTCTGGAGAGGAGAGTAAAGGGTTGGGAAACTATTTGCAGTGTTTGCCTGTGACCTTCCCTGTAACTTCCTTTGTGGGTTTAGAATCTGAAAATCCAGCTGCTCTTCCCTTGTGCTATCAGACACTTGAAATCAAAACTACTTTCTGCCTAGATCCTGCTTCCAGCAACAGTGCCTTGTATTATAGCCCTCTACATTTTACATCTAGTGACTTATAGCCCTCTACAGTTTACATCTAGTGATCACGCTAGAGGTTTGAGGTGGGCAAGTCTCATTATAATCCTCAGTCTTTTGGTGAGGAGTTAAGGTTGCTGTTGGCTGCAGCCCCAGAAACTGTCTCCCATTTTTGTTGTTATTGTTGTTGGTTGCACTTTTCAGAACCAAGAACCGCTGAGAGAGGAGGACTCCGATTTCATCCTGACTGAGGGTGACCTTACCTTGACCTATGGAGACAGCACAGTGACAGCCAACGGCTCCTCGGGCTCCCACACGGCCTCCACAAGTCTTGAGGGTGGTCGGAGAACAAAGAGCAGCTCTGAGGAGGTGCTGGAGCGAGATCTAGGGATTGGAGACCAGAAGGTTTCAAGCCGGGGTACACCCCTCGTGTTCCCGCTGCAGGAAAATGCATGATTTTTCCCTAACCCCAGAAGCAATGCAGTCAGCCTCTGGGGTTGAGGGTGGCTGCAACCCCAGTGTTGTTTGAGGTGAAGCATTGACTGGATTGAAGTAATATTTCTATTTTATCAGGGTCTGAAGCTATTTTAACAATGAAAATTTAACCCAAGTTGCAGACAGTGAAGATAAAAGTGTCACTAAAATTAAGACAGATTTTCCCACTTTTTCACATAGTAGTGTGCTTTCGGAGTTAAGCAAACAAAAACATAGCATGCTTTAATGGTCTTTTAATTTATCAGCCTGCAACATCTGTCCAACATGGGGCAGGTATTGGGGATTCTGCCCAGGATAAGCTTCAGCCCCCTACTTACTCAGCAGTGCCTGTCTAGCTGGCTGGAAGAATGTCAAGTAAGGAGAGAACAGGCTAGAAGAAAGACCATGAAGGAAAGCATCTGAGGCTGGATCTCCAAGAATTCTGTGATGCCAGTGTAAAGCAGGACAGAAAAAGCTGTTTGAGTGGAAGCTCTGGCAGTGAAGGCTGTGGGACTACATCCTTCTATCATGACTTTTAACTCTGCTACCTGTGTTTCTTCTAGACTGAAGAGTAGAAAAATATATCCATGAACATTTCAATATGGAGAGAAGAAGTACAGTTCCTTCTCTGGAATCTCTATAAGAAAGAAGTTATGAAATGTTTAAAACCAAAGGCAAATAGTGTTACACTGTTGTTTTTAAAATTAATCTGAGGACAGGAGATATTTAGAAACTAATAATATCACTGCAAAAATCATTCATCTTTTGAGGGCTACTATGTGAGACTGGGAAATGATTAGTAGCACTGAGTTACCTACTGTAGGGGTACAGATGACACCAACGTTTGTAAGATACTTATATCTAGGGAAGGGAAGGAAGCAAGAAACTGGAAAGGCAATAGGTTAATATTCAGAGGGAAAAGCTGTAATTGAAAAGTCACCTGCAATGAAATTATAATACAGGAGTCTCCAGACTGGGTCAGATTCCAAACTTTGAGCGGATGTGTGCATGTGATTTCAGTGGCCACACAAGGAATTGGATGCAAGACAGGGACTGTTAAGCATTATTTGACCCAGTAGAATGTTATACCTTCTGTCAGATCAGGAATCCACCTGTTTTGATGCCAAGTGCCACACAGAAAGGCATAATTTTCTTGGTATCTGAAGAGGCTCTCACATCACCTTAACATGTAGATGTGGTTTGTGAAATTTAGGTTTTTAGTTATCCTTTCTGGATGTGTTATTCTATTTGTGCACACCTGTAGTAGGTGAAATACTTAGATAACGCTTACGAAAAGTTTTGGGTCTCTCTTCCTTCATTTCTGTGCTTTAGCACTAGTATTTTTGGAAACCCAGTTTCTTTTTTAAAAAAGGCTTTCATAATATGCTGGCATTTTTCTCTTTATTGCAGATGAAATACTGTCTCAATCTGGCACACACATGTGAAATTAGACCTTTAACCTTAACACACATTTTTAATAGTTATTGTTTCCCTTTAGAGATGATCTTGCTGTATTGCCTAGGTTGGTTCAGTCTCCTGGTTCGAGTGATCCTTCTGCCTCAGCCTCTTAAGTAAGCTGGGAGTGTAGATGTGTAATGTAATTCCTGGATAATTATTAATTTTTAAACTAAGACATAGTTTCACAGCTTTCTGTATTTGAACTGATAGTTTTTACAAATAAAAAATTTAATAATTCTGAGCTATGTGAAATTGCTAATATTCAACTATTTTTAAAACTCAGAAATGGCCATTTCATATATATCACTATAACATAATAGAATGAATCTTACTGGCTTTTTCCTTTCTACCTACAGTAAAGTTCATTTTTAAAATTTTATGGTTACCCATGGGCTTTGTAAGTTTGAATAAAATTAGACAACTGGCCAGGCATGATGGTACATGCCTGTAGTCCCAGCACTTGAGAGGCAGGAGGATCACTGAGATTTCGAGACCAGCCTGAACGACAAAGTGAGTTCAAGGCCAGCCTGATCTGCATAGTGAAACCCTGTCTCAAAAAGACCAAGCAAAAACAAAAAACCTAAACCACCTACTTAACTCCATGAGGCCTCTGGGTCACTAGGTTAGAGGACTTCATAAGACCTGTGCCTCACAGCCAGAGAAAGAACTTTCTTAGCCTCTAGAAGGGAGGCTCTTAAATTGAAGAATCAGATTGCAGACAGCAGCTGACAGGCATGGCAGAATCCTAGAGTTGTGTGTATGTGCTCAGGCCAAAAGCCAGCACATGTGCATTTATTTTTTTTATTATCTTAGTGATGGCCAGTCATGCCATATAAGCTTAAAAGGTGACATATATTTATATTTTTGTGGGATGTTGTTTTTGATTTTGAGGTGGGGTCTCACTATTCCAGGCTGTATTCGAACTCATGATCTCCCGCCACAGCTTCCCAAGTGACTGGGATTACAGGGATACACCACTGCCCATAGCTTATTTGGTTTATTTGAAGGGATAGAGGAATAGGCTGCCACTATGGTTGGTCTCTATAAAGACTTGCTTACATGCTGCTTAATTTTGGAGGGGAAAAGCCACAATGATAAAGCCAACCAGGTAGGATATACCCTGTCTTCATTCACCTCAAGCCTTTGTTGTCCTTTTGAGTTTCTAGGAAGCTTTCAGCAGATTATAACAAATTGCCCTCTTAGGGAAAAAGAATAACTACCATACTTTCCAGCTTAGTCTTTGCTCAATCTGTAGATTTTTGTGTTTTCCCCAAAAGGGTCTCGTAGTCTTCACTGTAATCATTTATTCTGACCTACTTAAATATAACTAAATGCAGATTTGCCAAGACCAAAACTAGGGTTGTAATTATTTGATTAAATCTTTTATTCAGTGGCTCAAAGTAAGTTACTTTGACTTGTGGTCCTAATTTTTGTTCATAAAATAGGGAGAATACCCTGAACTTACCAGAGATCCTGGGAAGGTCAATCTGTTTATTGAAATGGTTTCACATACAGAAGTCTTATTCCTAGGCTGTGTGGAGAAAAGTAGAGTGCCATGAAGTCCAGGAACCATCTAACTCAAGGCCAACTGTCTGCTGTCAATCTGGCATAAAAACCAGACTTAAAAGTGCTAAGTAGTGTGCATCCAATGAAACAAAGTTCTTCTGAGAAAGTCATCCCTAGTCATGCTTTTGTTCTGACTTCAGGGAGATGACAGTCCAAGTACACTGTGCTGTTCTAGAAGAAAGTTTCTGAATTCTGGCCACACATTAGGATCATTTGGCCAGTTTAAAAAAAATTAAAAACTTGACACAAAAGCGTCTTGCTCTGAGATTGAGATTCAGTAATTTAGGCTAGGGCCTGGCATCTGTACTCTGGTTTGGCACTTTAGGAAGTCTTCATGTGTGGGGCCACAGCTGAGAGCCTTTCAGCTGGAGGTTAGTGAACCAAACTTGGAACCTTAGTTAAAAGAATGACTTAGCAAATTTAAGTGTTTTTAATTGTTATGGTTTAAATGTTAAATGAGGGACAAATTGAGTATTGATCAGTAATAGAGGCTAGGCAGCTGAAGAGAGTTTACGCTAATCTTTTTTAATTCTAAAGAGAAAACAAAAGAAAATAATAAAAGAGACAGACAACAACTACAAGAACAACAAAAAACCCAAAACAGTAACAATATAGGCTTTCAAAACAAGATGATAGGATAAGATATAAATTTGCGTATGCTTATCTTTGCAGAACTCAGGAATGTACTCAATGAAGTACAAGTCACACTTGAAAAACTTAGACTCTTTGAGAGAAAAACATATGACTTGAATACATATATAATTTAAAATATTATCTTCATCCCTTTTGTGGTCAGACTTTGTCTTTTGCTTGTCCCCATACCTAAATTCATGTCGGATTTCATAGAATAAGTGTAAACTCACTTACTGCCAGAGCACAGGGGAAGGTGGTGGTGTCACATGGTAGCAGTGGTATAGCTACAACAGAGAGAGGATACAAATCATTATTCTTTTTAATAATATTCCTTGTGGAAACCACCAGGAAACGTAAACATTCCTAGATAAGGATTTTTTGCAATTTAAATAGGCTGCATCTCTTCCTAGGAAATAAGCACAGAAAGGACATATGGACTGACACCCAGGGTACTCAGTGGGGTGACCAGACAAATGAATGTTGTTGTCTTGAAGCCAAAAATCACACTGTGAAATCAAATGTCTCATCAAGCAAGTAGCAAGGAGCTCTTTAGACCGTATTCTCTAGACCTGCAAATGTCCTCTAGGTTTGGTTGACAAATGCAACTTTTTAAAAAGAATGCAAAGTGTTAGCTATCTATGAACATTTCAATCTAGGACAAAGAATTATTCCTTCCAAAAGAGAGCTCTGTTTCTATTACCCCACACCAACTCATTCCCTTTCCTCATCTTCTGTGGAAATTAATGTAATCATGTCAGATTTGCTGTAAACTACAATGCATTTAGAAAAGATTGGTAGCAACACAGTTGAACAACTCATCAGAGGTGAAAATCATCTTGGAAATCTTCCTTGTTCCCATTGTGAGTTCTAAGAGGTATATCAAAAAGCTGACTGTTTCATTGATTATAAAATGTAATCTAGAATGGGAGTAACTTGCTAAGTATATGCCTTCTTATTCCACCTCAGAAGTGAGGGAGCTTGACAACTTTTATGACTGCCTTTTGATGTTGATTCTATAGATCATTTAGTGCAGGCAGGAATCTGTCAGATACATTAGACTACAGTTGAGTTCTGGTGTGTTTTGTTGTTCTGTAAGAGATAATCTGGCTTGTTAGGGTCAACTGCTACATTCTGTCTGATACAGTAAGTTGAAGGAGTCTAGTGGCCAAGCATCATAATTTAGAAACAACCTATCTGAATGCTGTTTTCACTCCTTTGATACCTAAAAAGCCTTCCTCCTTTTTCAAACATAGTAAAAACAACATACAGAGAATACTGTAGAAATCAATGTGAGTGTCTAACCAGGAAAAGGACAATCCTTTCCAAATCAGAACTAGATAAACCATTCCCTTTTCTGCTTGTTTTCATACTTTCTTTAAGATTAGCAAACATACCTTGTCTTGTCACCCTGTGGTAGTAAAATTTGTGAAAAGCAAAACCAAAGTTTTTGATGTTAGTTTTATTTCATAAGCAGGATATACTATAACTATGGCCCACATGCAAAGCACAGGCAGCCAGTTTGGGTACCTGAGCTTTGGGGGAAGATGAGAAGGGAGGTGTGTCTACTGTGCTACCTTTTAAAAAGATGTAACAGAATTGCCAAATGTTACAGTCAACTCTCAACTCTTAGCCCTTAGAAAGTTGTCTGGGCCTGATTATGTTGGAGGAATTCAGAAAAGGACTATAAATAGCATGAAGCACTCAACATCTACTGTCTAAAGCACTTTTCTTTCTTTTACCATCCAAGTGTTACTGGATGACTAACTTCATGGACATATGGGGGCTGACTTTGTTGTGCTTATTCCCATTGTGGGCTTTGGAGAAACAGAGGAATGATTTTCAGTTATATGGATGTTAAATGTGGAATTTGTAACTTGTCACTAAATCACTCATTCATCCAAAGTGTGACTTAATACTCGAATCAGCTCCTTGTAGATTGTCTTTTTTATTTTTTATGTAAAGTACATCTAATACTTACTTGAAAGTTTTAGTATATCCATTAAAATCATCAAATGGGAAGGCCACCAAGATTCATTTAATATGTGAAAAACAATTTTTTAAAGTAGAGTAGGATGAATTTAACATGGAATGATGTGATATTGGGGAAACCTTTTATAGAGGGCTTACATATTGTATTTGGGGAAAATTTTGTCTTCTACTTCTATTCAACAGTAGCAAACTGGTGGTTTTATAAGATTAACATAGTATGTTATATAAAAATGTTATATAAAATGATATTAAAGTATGTTGTAACTGTGAAAAAATTAAAGACTTGGAGTTATCTGCAACTGTTCTGTGCAATAAGGAAAACTGCAGTAGGCCCCCAAAGTGCTATCTTTCCCTAACATTTTACTTAATGTTTGCCTTTGTGTAGATGTTTAGATTGCTATTGTAAAGCTAGTTATGTGTCTTTCTGCCCTTTACTGATTTTGAACACATTTTCTCAAAGCTTTTTTTTTTTTACAAAACTAAAAATAAAAAGATTAACTGGCTGATCTAATCTTATTTTGTATTTTAAGAGTTGCGTCTTAGTAGAAAGGTATATAATGCGATCCTATTACTATCTTTTTCTTGCTTTCACTGCTAAGTTATTTTCTGGATGGAAGCTATTTTTCTGCAGGGGATTCATTTAGACCAGGGTTGGCAAACTACAGTGGTTCCTGAACCAAATCAAACCCACTGCCTGATTTGTGAAGTTTTATTAGTGTCACTTTACTCATTCATTAGCATTCTATCTGTGGCTGCTTTCATGCTACTGTGCCAAAACTGAGGAGCTGTGATGGAGATCTTAAGGCCCATAAACTATTTACTGCCTGGCCCTTTCCCTGGAAAATTCTTACTAACCCCTGATTTAGATGTTTGAAGAAATCTAGTTGTAAAATAGGGTGTAAAAATAATGGTAAGAGGTTTTTTAGATGTTTTAATGTGCCCTAGGATAAAAAGAAATACTTGAAATTTGACCTCTGCCTAGGACACCTTCTGGCCTGCAAGAGTCTAACAGGCTTTGAGCACAAAATCCTGGGGAAGGCATCTCTGGATGTGGACAATATTAAACTGTAAAACTGAGGCAAGTATCCAACCCCTGTGCATGGGTGGAGGACCTGCTGACCACTAGGGAGAAGCAGTAGGGAGGCAGTGTGCCCCCCACCACATGCTCCGGGGTAGGCTCTGCTGCTGAGGAAGCAATGTGACCCCCACTCTCTAAGCACCAGTAGAGTCTACTGGCTGGTGAGAAGCAGCAGGGAAGCCATATAGCTTCCCTGTGAGCTAACAGAGGCCCTATCAGCGGAGGAGAAGCAGCAAGCAAGCCATGCAGCCTCCCTGTGTGCCAGCAGAGAGCCTACAGGCTGGGAAGAACCAGTAAGGAACCTGTGTAGCCTCCCTGTGTGCTGGCAGAGGCCCTATCAGCTGGGAAGAAGCAGCAAGGAAGCTGCCTCTGCCTCCTGTCCCTGCCCCTGCCCCCTCTACCTGTGAGCAACCAGACACGACACAGGCTGAGACGATAATAACTGAAGTACAGAAAAACCTGACATTTATGTGATTTGATTGACTTTGCAAGCCTGCGGCCAGTGGTCTGGGCAACTATTTAGAGAATAACAATATGCAGCATAGTAATGATTGTGGATTCTCTACTGCCCTATTACTGTTTTGTTCATTTTACTGTTCTGTTTTACTCCCTTTAAAATAAAAAATAAACATTAAAAAAAGATTGAGGCAAGTAAACTTAACACTGCAGCTCAATGCTTCTGACTAGATAATGGTTGTACCCAGTATAGTTTCCTTCATTATGTATTGCTTTGTATAGAGGCTAGATTTTATTTGAACCATGCAATTGAATAACATCCTAAATCTGCTTCCTAACAAAATAAATCTTGTCAGTAGCATGACTTCAAAGTCACTTAACTGCATAATTTACAAAAGTACCTGATACAACAATTTCAAAGCAAAATTTTGTTTAATTCATTATGATTCTTCCACCCCAGGTAGAAAAATTGTTTTCCAAAATCTGGTTCCAGAGAAAGTAAACTATTTGAGGGAGAGCAGAATGTTTAAAACAGTATTACCAAGACCTTTTATTTACTGCTAAGTGATTTAATCAAGACAGACAGGACTGCACATTATTCACGTCACACTGATATTTTTGTCCAGACATCTATTGATGTGAAATGGAACCAAATCCCATCTTGTCTTTGTTGTAAGCTTTGTTGAAATGGCTCCAGCAGAGGCAGGGTCAGCCTGGGAACTGAAGCTCTTCCTATTTTATGGCCATAAATATCCACATTGAACTGTCACTTCTGTTCCATCAATGTGTCTATCATTATTTAACAGCTTGGGATATTCCTGTCCAGCAGAATTGCACAGCGGTTGGTACCAAGTCAAGTCCGAGTCTCTGACAGTGTGATAGATGGCCTCTGCAGTGTTGCTGCTCTGGTGCTGGAGCAGCATGCTGTGTGCCCCAGTTCATGGGAACTGACCTGGAAGGAAAGGAACAAAGGACATTTGAACTGTAGACCATAGAAATCCCTAAAAAGCTGTTGAACTCTGATGACTTAAGACTATAGTCTCCCTTATCTAAGCTTTATTATCCAGTGCTAGAAATCTGTATTGAATCTGAATCTATCGTTTCTGGATTGGAAAGACAGGACAGGAGAAAATGTGACTCAAGGTGCTTAGGGTGGTGAAGACAAGGAAGATGGTTGAAGTCTCTCACCATGTGACTGTCCCTTAAGCAGCTCCCCTTGTAGGGTGCCTGTTCAGAGCAGAGAGAGCTCTCTGGGACACTATGGTCATATGCTGGGTAGAAGAGAGAAAGGATCTGGGATTGAGCTGTGTACCTTTAGGTACCAACCATGTAGCCACCCATTCTTCACTTGTCTGCCAGTTCCTGTGTGTAAAATAAGTCATGTCAACATCAGTGAACTCTTTTGTAAAACTGAAGCTGTATATAAGCAGAATGTCTAGCTTTCTACCTTTATGGCATCTGAACTTTTTCTTTCATTTATATACACTGAGTGTGTCACTTTCAAGATGATTAAAAATGACTCACAATAAGCATTAAAACTAATTTCATAAATGTCATGAGGTCTCTCTATGAATCTGTAGTATTCTGTTAATATGGGTCATTTATATAAAAGAGCCACCATGTTAAAATTTAGTTTAATAACCAATTTCCAGCTGAGCTGACTTCTGATTGTAGATAAGAGAGAGCAAATACACTTCTTATTCCTCCCACAAAACATAACTAACAACCCCAAGATGATATATAAAAACAAAGAAGACTCTGAAGGGTACAGAGAAGAAGGCAGACTAATGAGCAACCTGAGAATTGAAGAATGACCTGGCCAGAAACACTATGGTCAAAGATGAAGGGAAACTCCCGGAAAAACCTTTTATCTTTAGCCAAAGGACAGGAAAAAGATCAGCTTATAAACACAGAAACCAAGCTCCACAGGAAAAGACACCCCTCCTGTTAACACAGATCTTGTGGAAGGTCAGAACTTCTGGACTGCCATCCTGACCTGGCAATAATCATTTGGTGTACCCCTTTCTCCACCAGTGTGCTGTCTGTGGAGACTTGCTAAAAGAGAATGTTTAGATAAAAGTCATAAATTCCTAACTCATGACTGTCCCTAAAAATCAAGGATTCAATGGAAAAGCCACTTGTCAAATGAAGGGCTAGGAAAATTTGAACTTGAACGAGAAGAGACATCTAACAAAATTAAGCTGTGGTAAGTTACATATGTATCACCCAAAGGAACCAGTAGAATAACATTCAAAAGAGAGACTCGAACAGATAAATAAAATTCTAAAATTGTTCAGGTAATAGGCAGGAAAGGGAAACAGAAGAGGAGAAAATGGGGAACAACAAATGAAGTTCTAAAATGGCAAATTTAAGACCTAAAATATCAATAATTATAATAGCTTAAATATATAAACTAGGAGATTGGCAGAATGGATTTATTTTTGCCATGCTGGGGATTAATCCTGTGCCTCATGCATGCTAGGCAAGCATTCTACCACTGAGCTGTACCCTCAAACACAGAATGGATTTAAAAACATGACGTAACCATATACTGTCGATAAAATTCATTGCAGATACAATTACAGATAGGTTTAAAGTAAAAGGATAGACAATACATACATTAATCCAAAGGAAATAAGAGTAGTTATATTAATATCATAAAATAGACTTCAGAGCAAGAAGATTATGGGGCCAAAGGACACTACATAATGGTAAAAAGCTTAATCCACTAAGGTATAGGATACATAAATGTGTACACAGCAAACAGGAGAGCTGCTAATTTCCCAAGGCAAACACTGTAGAGTAGAAAGAAATAGACAAGTCCACATTTATAATTGGAAACCTTAACACATTCTCTCAACAACTGATAGACCCACCAGATGAAAAATCAACAACATATAAAGTAACTGAATAGTGCCATCAACCAACAGGATTGAACTGACATATACTGAACATTCTACTCAATCATTGTAAAATTCATATTCAAATGCACAGAGAACATTCACAACATAGACCATATTATACACAAAATGAATCTGAAAAATGTAAGAGAACTGATATAATAGAGCATGTTGTCCAGTTATAATAGAGTCAAACTAGAAATCAGAAACAAAAGTTTTACATGTCACCTGATGCAGAAATGACATTTGACAAATTTTAACAACCATTTAAGATAAAAATTGTCAGCAAACTGGGAATAAAAAGAAACTTCTGCAACTTGATAGAAGACATTTATTTACATATACCTACATCTGCCAGCCTTCTTTATGGTGAAAGACAATTATTTACCCTTTAGGGAAAAGGTAAAAAACATCATGCAGGAACAAGGCAAAGATGTTTATATTCTCCATTCTTATTCAGCATACTACAGGAACTCTTAGATGATGCAATAAAGGCAAGAAAAGAAAAAAAAATACTGATTGGAAAGGAGAAAATAAAACTATCTCTATTTGCAGATGATATAATTATATATATAGATAATCTATGGAATACACTAAAAACCTGTAACTATTGAGTTCAGTAAGTTTTCAGTATATTAGATGAGTATTTTTCCATTTAACTTTATTATTGATGTACTGAACATGAAAAAGTACAAAGACTCCAACCACAAAAGAAAACATGTACAGCCTCCTAAATACTCAACAGAATATATTAATTATTCCAACAGATGTGAATTAAGTACAATTTCAAATAAATACTAGCCTTACATTTTATTGTTAGATCAATACTTTAAAAACTATTTTTTTACAAGTATTAGAAATGAATAGGTTGACCCCAAACTGTAGAAATCATACTATTAGCCAGGCATGGTGGACAAGCCTGGAATCCCAGCACTTGGGAAGGTCACATAGGAGATTCATCTATGCAGCTTGGGCTACACAGTGAGTTCAAGTGTATCTGAATTTATAGCAAGACCCGTGTCAAAAAACCAATATTTACAGTAACTCAAAATAAATGAAATACCTATGTGTGAATCAGGTAAAGGATCTGTATGCTGAAAACTACAAAATATCAATAAATGAAGTCAAGCAAGATCTACATCCATAGAGAAACATATCATATACATGGACTGGAGGATAGTATAGTAAAGATAGCAGTTTTCCTCAGATTTATAGATTTTGTGATGTTTAAGGTGGACTGTCATCTTCATTGACTTAGGATCCTCCCAGGGCCTTAGAGCATACTTCTGGGTGTGCCACATTAGAGAAACATGACCTTGAGGTCTATATCCGATCCCTCACCCCTTCCTCTCTGGTGCTGTTTCTCTGCTATCCTTTCTGACCATCAAGAAATAAGGAAATCTGCTTCACCACATTCTTCTGTCAGGATGTTTCTGCTTTGGAACCAGTTCCATCAAATTTCATCAATTTTTGTAGATATCAACAAGCTTATTCTAAACTTTTTATGGAAAGTGAAACAAATTAGAATGGCTAAAACTTTTTGGAAAGAATAAAGTAGGAAAGGTCATTGTATCCAGTGATAAAGTACTACATAACTATATTAATCAAAGAAGTATAGTATTGGTGAAGGGACAGACTCCTAAATCCATGGAGCAGAAAGAGATCTGACTAATAGACCCACATGTGTATGGCTAACTGATTTCTGACAAAGGTGCAAAAGCAATTCACTGGAATAACAAATCTTTTTAACAAATGGTGCTAGAGTAGTTAGGCATCTATAGGTAAAAGTAATATTTGACCTAAGTCACACACTTTATACAAAAATAAGCTTTGATTATAGGATTAAATGCAAGTATATATACACTTACCCCATAAATTATAAGAAAAAGCAAAATAAAATATAAAACTTTCACAAGAAAAAAATGAAAGAAAATCTGTGGAACTCACAAAAAAGTTGATAGATCAAACTCCATAAAATTAAGTAACTTTTGCTTTTAAAAATCCTTCATAGGAGGATAAAAAGGCAAGACACAGACTGGGAAAATATTTTCAACTACATATTTGATAAATGACTTGTACCTAGAATATATAAATAAGCTTCAAAACTAAAAAGTAAAACACAATCCAGTTAAAAATAGGCACAATATCTGAGCCAATATTTCACCAGAGACTATAAATAGCACAGGAGCATATTAAAACATGTTCAGCTCATTAATCATTAGGAAAATGAAAACTAAAACTACATGAATATCATTACATACCTATTGATACAGCTAAAATATAACATAGGTACAGAACCAAGTGCTGGTAAGGATGTACAGATGGTTCACCTCTCATGTATTTCTGGTGGGAATGTTTAAAGGGTGCAGCCACTCTAGAAACTAGTGTGATACTTTCTTGTAAAACAAAATGTATCCTGGGACATGATCTAACAATTGCGCTCTGGGGCATTCATCCCATCTGTGACAATTATTGCCTGCACCAAACCCTGTATGGGAATGTTCATAATGGCTTTACTTGTAACAGCTAAAAATTAAGCCAAATGTCTTTCAATACATGAATGGTTAAACTATGTTACTCTGATACCATGAAATATTACTCAGTAAGGAAAAGAAATGACCCCAATGAATTTGCAGAGAATTATTCTAGATGATAAAAACAACCTCAAAAGACTATATATTGTGAGTCAATTTATATAATGTGTGTGTGTGTGTGTGTGTGTGTGTGTGTGTGTGTGTGTTATGGTGTACTGGGGCTTCAACCCAGGGCCATCAAACTGAGTTATATCCACAGACCTTCCCAAATTTTTTCATTTTGAGACAAGGTTTTGCTAAAATGAGACCCTGTCTCAAAAAAATCTTTTAAAGGCTAGTGATGTAACTCACTACGAAGGTCCTGGATTCAATCTCTAGTACCATTTTTAAAAAGGTCCCTTTGAGGGTACCTAGATGAAGGCTATACTGGATCTGTCTGTGCTGTTTTTGAAAGATTTTGTGAATCTATAATTATTTCAAAGCAAAAAGTGAAGAAAATTTTCCTCTGTCACTGCTGT